CATGAATTTGGACAGTAAAACAGTACCTCTACTTAGCGGATACCTTCCGCATTTTGCCTGGTGTTCACTCATGTAAAAGAGTTTAGGTATTGCTGTGAAGAAAATTTCCCTGCAGTGGTCGTTTTATAAAGGGTGTCCGCTTTATGGAGGTTTATTTTGCTATGAATATGGGCAGAATATTTCGAGACCCGAGTAGTGGTCGTTTTATAAAGGGTGTCCGCTTTATAGAGGCTTATTTTGCTATGAATATGGGCAGAATATTTCGAGACCCGAGTAGTGGTCGTTTYATAAAGGGTGTCCGCTTTATGGAGGTTTATTTTGCTATGAATATGGGCAGAATATTTCGAGACCCGAGTAGTGGTCGTTTCGTAAAGGATGTTCGCTTAATACAAGTATAACTGTACTAGCAATATTTTTTACTCAAAGAAATGCTTAAATCCTCTGTTGCACTTCAAAAAATATATATTGTCAGTCGGCCTAGTAATATATAATGCACTAAACGTGCAATATTTGTAAAGTCTCCCACCAAAATTATTGACAGATGATCTTCTGGCATCACTGATTGCGTGGTACTGGGAGATGTACTCGTGCGTATGACATGACAAATGAAATCAATGTCAAAGTTATTGGTGTGAACACATTTAAGACCCATTAAACCCGATCACGTAACTTCTTAATATTCCCGTTGTTATAATACAAAGCATATTTGATCTCTCATCGCATTTAGGTTACAAAAAACTGTCCAGTTTAGATTGAGAATCGTGTTGTGAAGTCGCGGGCTTTGTGTTAACCTAGCTTTCGCGGGAGTTTCTAACGACATAGACTACACGAAGGAAACTATTTGTTTAAATATAGACATAGTTTCATTACTCTATCTAACAACAACGTTTCAGGTGAGTAGGTAAACTGAAAAATAAGGTTGTCTCTGACTATAAATGCTTTAGAACATTGGACGTTTCGGTTTTCAAACTGAAAACTTTCGCTCTGCATGAAAAAACTGCAATAATGGTGTCCAGATTCAATAGTAGAATTGCGACTAAAGCCTCGTAAATATAAGGCTCGTGAATATGTCCATTGATAGAAATATTTTCTTCTTTTTTCATTTTTGTTCGTTTTTTCCCGAGTTTTTTCTTTTTCAATTATCTTTTTCTCTCCTACGTTGCCTTTCAACTTTTCTTGATTCTTTTTCTTTTTTACGTTCATTATCTCAAGGGCGGATCCGGGGGGGGGGGGGGCAAAGGGGGGCTGAAGCCCCCCCTTCAGCAGAAAAAACGATGCTTTTTTATATTGTTTTCCGTTGAGTTGACGGAAGAAACTCAATTAGCCCCCCCCTAAACTCGATAAGCCCCCCCCTAAAATTTTTTCTGGATCCGCCCTTTTATCTCCAGGTTGTTTACTTTTCTGTTGTTTTTTTATTATTATATTTCGTGGCCCCGAGCTAATTAATAGGTATAGTTTAACTAGCAATTGTCGCTTATTTTAAAAATATTTGGAAAAAAAGTCGAGCATACTAGAAGGAACTTTCCCTTAGACAGATGGCCTGCATGCTAACACTTCCCCCTTACTTACCAAATAAAGTCAAGTTCACAGTTTGTTTCTTGAGTGACTGGGAAGTATTAGTTGGCGGCGTTTTCATGTCATGCTGCGCGCAAGTAAGCTAAAAAGCCGGCTCTAACAAGGTATTGTTATTATTTCCCTAAAAAAATACATAATAAATGGATGGATGGATGGATGGATGGATGGATGGGTGGGTGGATGGAAGGATGGATGGATGGATAAATATATGGATAGAACTCGATCAAACAAATCGTATTCTCAAGTTAGTGATACGTGATATGAAATGGGAAATGCGAAAAGAGGTATAATAAAATAGTCAAATGTATTTATTAAAGTCACTGAAAGACAGCGAAGTTTTAACCTGTCGAAACAAGTTCTACCTTGAAATCCACTCTCGATATAATTTCAAAATCCGAACGAAAATTGTCGATCCTGTAAAATAGAATTTAAGGTATTTAGAACATCTTTGTATGTGCATTGTTTTAGGCCTAAGATTTTTTTATCTTTAATAGGCAATTTATCTGTAGGAAAAAGATAAAGAGTGCTTTTTCGCTTTTTTGACTCATGCCCGAAGACACGATATGGTCGAAGATTATCTTTTGATTTACTGACCTCCACATTTAATCTTTTGAATTATTTTAATTAAAAAAATAAATAAAAATCAGCCCAGAAGTTGTTTCAGAACTCGAGGATTCCGAAGGATTTTTTTTAAAAAGTTTTTTCACTAATTTAAAAAATTCCACTCTTTTACTCGGGCTACTTGTTACTCCCAAGTACAAAACTTGTATAAACCTCTATAAAATTAGTCGTAGCTCTTTTTGTTGTTGCGTCCCTGATTACGTAGCCCGAGTAAACGTTCAGTATTTCGAGTCAAATCACGTCGGAATAAAATTGTTTGTTAATTTCTCATTCCAGGTGAAAAACGGGCTGACTAGACGTCGATAAGCTGATAAATTTAAAGTCAAGACTTTTATGACGTCTTAAGGTAAGATAAACTCATTTTGCCCCGATATTAATCCCTGTGCCTTCCAATATCGAGATATTGTATTAGACTAGATTGTTGCAAGCGATTTCGAAAGCCTTTTTAATTCATAAAAGCTATGCATACTCAAATTGAGGTGCTTTTACGTACTCTCAAAGATCAATTATTATCCTACCCAATCAGAAAGCACCATTTTTAGAATCATCACGTGTGAGCCAAAAGTGGCGGGAAATGCCATAGCGCGTTAACCACAAAAAATTGGCGCGAAATTCTGTCTGGGATTCTTCTGGCTATCTGATTTACGAAGAAAAGTCTCCTCATTTTCTTATCCGATGTTTTCAAAAGACGGGGAAAAATGATTTACTAGATAATCCGAGAGCCAACTGTACAATGAATATTCAAAAGGCTTGCAAATTCCTCTGCTTGCTGGACGTTCTAAAAGTTAATTAATGTGTAACTGATTGTCAATCTTTGGCACTAATGTCGTTCCTAAATAGAGATAATGGAATTGAATGGAATATTTTAAACGAAAGGGAAAAGATGCCAGATAAGGTCATTAAGAAACTTTTATCATTGTTTTTTTTAAGATTTAGAACGGCCGATTTGAAGCTGATTTTTTTCCTTTCTTTTTTTTCTTTCTTTCTTTTTTCTTTCTTTCTTTCTTTTTTTTTAATTTCCCTAATTCTTTACTCATTGGAATCGTGCCTGAAATTCTGGGCTTATTGGTATCATTGCATTGTTAACCCCGGTATTCGGTATCTTCGACGTATGTGTGTGAAGAAGAGAAGAAGATCTCGTGAAATTCTTGGTATATTGGTATCATAGATGGGGGAGGGGGAGGGGGGTGGAATCGGGAATCTCTGCACCCTCTTTATCCCCCCCACCATACCAAATCCCCGGCCGGGTCTTAATTGGATTATGAAAGTAACTTCCGTGATGGTTCTGTTTCATCGCGAAACATACATTATCCAATATGGCCGCAATTCGGTTCGCGGTTTTCAATTAAAGCTTTCGCTAAGTTCCTTTTTATAACGGAAACGTTAACAGTACAAAGAAACAGGATTTCCTAACGCGAAGCTTTTCAAAAACAATCATAAAAACCAGCAAACAGAGTTTTAATTTCACGATAACAGTTTTTGATCCATTAGTTGATACCAGTGATATCGGCATTTTCGGTGTATTAATAGGCATTTAATCTTTGATGGTTATAAAGCCGACAGTCCATTTCCAGACCAAACAAGCATATTATATCTTGGTAATAGCAAAACTAAAAAGCTATTTCGATATTTTTTCTAGTCATTTTGTAGTGTTGGTCGTGTGCGAAGAATCTCTGACCGCTGACCGCCGCCGGCCTCCCGCTGTTTCGGCGCGCGCTCTCTCTTTGAGTCTAAAACACTCACGATAGTCCGCCCGATGGCCTCTTATTTTAAGTAGTTCAACCTCTAATTGTTCTAAAGCCCAAGATTGTTTGTGCATATTTTTTAAACTTGTGGATACGCGAGCATAGAAACGAGTTATCGTGAGGAGTTTGAATATGCAAATGTATTACTCACTCACTATGGCGTTAGCAAAACCACAGGTAGCCCATGCTGCGTTTCTGTTAGGGTTTTACTTAGAGTTTGTAATATGGATTATTTTTAGATTACTGAAAAAAAATGCTACGACCTTTTCAAGATATCTTGACGTGTATTTGATCTTGGTCTGTACTAAATTCCCAATCTCTGAAAAGTGCAACTTGTATCTACGAGTTCGCCAAAGGGCGGTTTGATTAGATGCACATTATGAAATGAAATTTCCGCTACATGTTAATTTTGCGATTTAAAAAGTTGAGGGGAAAATGGGCCGAGCTGGCATTGCAGTGCATTTTGGGACTGTATTAGGGTACGTAATAGACGCCATCTGGAAAATATGTTACTTAAAAAAGACCCACAATGCACTGCAATGCCAACTCGACTAGAGGTGACTTGTTTATAGGAAATCAATGCAAGAGCCGATCTATACACCAAATCGAAATATGGCGACCAGTTTGAATAACTATTGTTCTGTACTGACTAGCGACTGACTAGCCTCTCCTACATGTGAAAACGCTTTTATGCCTCAACTTGAACACGAGGCTAGTCAGTCGTTAGTCAGTGCAGAATCGTACGTTGCCATATTTCGATTCCGTGTATATTTCATTTACTTATTAATTGTTTTTATGTTATTCAGACTCTTAAATCCACTATAAATAGATTTTCTAACAACTTCTAGAAACTTCAATATATTCTTCGCGTCATAATAACAATATTTTTTTCTAGAAAACTCAATCGTCCCTAATTACCAAAGCCATCTAGTCATTAACTCTTGTCAAAGCAACGGCCAACCGCGGTGCAGTTCAGCATTCTAATATTCAATTCGGTCCCCGTCCACACCGTCGTATCTTGGTCTTAATTCTGTTTTTTTTTTTTTTTAAATTATGGTCCACACGCCGAGCGTTTTCGAATCGTTTTCGAAAAGCTGCGTTTTTTAAAATGTGGCGTGGCACCGGAAACGTATGGTCATACGGAAGGTAAAAAGGCGTCCGGATACGTGTGGACGGGACCTTTTCAATCTTAACACTTTATATCTTGGAGAAAACCTTCGTTAAACGTAGCGCACATCTTCAAACGAGGACAGCCGTTTCTAAAACAAGGCCGACATCGTTTATCGAGGATCTCAGTTTGATAGCAAATCTACTTCACGACTGGGTTCCACTGGTGGTAACGCTAAATGTTATTGTTTGAGCTCAACACAATGATTCACGTAGACCCGAGGTCTTGCTGATAATGAAGGATTGACATGCCAGCCTTGGTTAGGAAGTGCTAATTATCGACTTCTGACTACCTTAAGATATTTCATATAGTCTCAGAAAGAACTCCTTATTTCTATCACTTCAGTGATTAGCGTTGTGTTGGTTGGGTCGTTGCCATTTGGAAACCAAATCACAAACAAATATAATCTAGGTAAGCTTCTAGTTCGCTATTAATTTTGTATCTGTTTGTGAAAAATATTAATCTTGCTGTCTTAAACTTAAAATTCTGTCAGTGGTATTTGGTATTAAACCGTTTGAAACGCTTTAAATTCGAATCGTTCGCTATTTTCCCGCCAAGACTTCAAGATATTTGAGAAGCTGAGTTTTTTTTCCCAGCATTAATATTAGTTTTTGGGTTCTATAAGAGTGGGCCATTTCTTTCTAAGTTGTTCGCCATTAAACATCGTAATTTGAATTGAAGCATGAAAACACTTTATGCTGCCAAACTCTGCCGTTTTGTTTCAAGGTAAGTCATAAGTATTCCACTTAAAAAGCCATTGAACTCGATTTTTAAGAGTCTAGACATTTTTAAAAATAAATTACTAGGTCCTGATTCCATTTTATACAATTTTGTAGCTCGCTTTAAGGGTTATTTATGATTAAAAAAGACATTAGTTTTCGGGTTTTTTTGTTTTGTTTTGTTTCGAAAAATATCCCAATAGAGTTTATTAGAATTACTTCTTAATACTTCGCATCCTTTCCAAACAAGGAAACTCCATACAGAAACTCATTTTCAATGAGAATCATTCTAATAATTGATTTTTCTTTACTTCTTGTCTATTTTCTCAAATAGCAACAAAAGTCTTTTAAATGTTTCTCAGTCCTCATTAGAATTTAAAATTTACGGGTTTCTTGGCGGCGGGCAAAAAAGCGCCGGAAGTGAGATCCCTTTTATCATTTGAGTTTATTCAACTGCAATACCCTTACCACGCTTCCATATAAAATGATTGTTTTTACCATCTGCTCCAGAGTTCAAGAGCCAGGAACTGCTGAAAAGCTTCGTGGGTGACCTAATATTTCTTCCGCAATACTATCAAAACATAGTCCTAGAACTCAGCTGAAATTGGATTTCTAGATATTACGTTTATTTTCGGACTTAAAATCGCTCATAAAAAAATAGTTTTTCAAATTTATTGATCTGTCTTCTTCATGTTCACACAGAGCTTAAAAGGCTGCGGTTTGTGTGTTACAGAATAGTTAACACGGCACGCAATTTTCTTATTAAATTAGAGCAAATTTAGGTATTTTTCAAATAAGACCAAATATAGATCGTCTGGGTATCCAATTGGCACGCATGCGTGACCACAAGTATAATATCCTTTTTTAATTGGATTTGGCTTTGAAGATTTTTTAATTTAAGCAAGCTTTGCGAGTAATTGACCAAAATTTGTTCGAGTACTTTATAAAACACTTATAAATTATTTTTCAAATATCTCAGTCAGCTTGAAAATTCGATAGATTTTGATGTTGTTTTTATTTTTTATGCAAAATAATTAAGGTATCTCGATATTTTAGAAAAGTAAAAGAAAGTTATCAAGATTTGGAAGGATAAATCGCGGGTATCCTCCCAGCTTGGATCTCAAAAGATTTTGTTAGTTTCCTGATAACTAACGGGGTCCTAAACTCCCAGATCCAAGGAACTCTTAGGAAGCTAATTTCGTCTTTACTAGGGACCTTCTCCATCCTTATTAAGATAATTTAAAATGTTGATAAATTATTTCAAAATACGTTTAAAAAGATTGTTTAGGAGGCCCTCGATTTTTACTTGTTTTAGTCAGCGGTATGTATATGAGAGCATGAGCATGAGAGCATTTGTAACAATTTTGCGAACAATATTTTTTGGGTGTATTTTTTTTTTTTTTTTTTTACATCGGAAAAGAAAATATCTTCTTGACAAAGGCAATTTAAGATGATTTCCAGAATGTGTTTTTGAGTGAACCAAAATCTACGCAGATGGTCCCACACAGCTGTTGCTTTTCAAGGTAGATCGATATGCATCAAATTTCCAATCGATTTAAATGAACGGTGATAATGAATCAATAACTTGCCCTAGAGCTCTTTACACAACCCACATCGAGAACAATCTTGGTGTGGATCAGGTTTGATGCGGTATTAAAACCGCATTGTGCATGAGCCGTTCTGTCGGTCACGGAGCGCGCTAGCTGTGGCCGGTTTTCGACGCGGTAAAATTGGCCTAAACTCAGGTAAAAAATTAAGCAAAAGTAATATAGTTTTTCCCCCGTTTTTGGAGCCTTTATTTAAATAAGTTGAATAGTAGAAGGTTCTTGTAGGGTGGTGAGCTTGTGTTCTTGTCATCACACAGGGCTTGAATAACTGTGATGTAATTCAAGACGTACGATAGAAAAAAGCACAAGCGAAAAAGAAAGACATACATGATATGAGAAACTCTTCACCTCTTCAACGTTTTTGGGACAAATTTAATGAGGTAGATTACGCTAAATTTTTATCGAGTTTTATGGTGAAAACGAAGTCAGTGAAGAATGGCATGAAGTCCGCTCTCCGCGGGTAAACTTCCACTTTCACAGCACAAACAATTCGTGAATAGTGTTAGTTTGTCTTATTTACCTCGCCAGACACTTTTTAAACTCCCTACTTAACGGATATGTCACTTTTTACCAGTACGTTTAATGTGTTTTGAAATATATTTTAATGGCCGACAAATGTTCACTCTCACGCCATATGTTGTACRCTATTCTTTACAGTTTTCACATTTTCCTAGGGAATTAATGATACATACGCTACAGGAAAGACCAAGGACACTGATCCTTTCCCGTTACTTAAGACTCAGACAATTATATCTTAGCAACGAAAATAATCCGGCTTCATTTCCATTCATTTCGTGCAAAAAATTAGCACGATCTCTGAGCTTATTCGCATTACGCACGAAAAATTTAAACATATTCCTATTCAGATTTGTTTTCTTTTTCTCATACATACAACTTTGGATTATGATTCAATTTGAAATGATTAAGTCATAATATTATCATAACATGACAAAGAAGCAATAGTTTTTCATTGTTCTTTCCAAGACCCAAAAATAGATTAATCCTTACATTCATCTGGTTTTAGGAATTCGCATTTTTAGTTCGTTCATAGCCGGAGATAATTATGTCTGGTTCCAAGAGGATTTACTCAGCCTGATCTTAAAACCAAAGACCAGTGATCGAGTTGTCGTTGAAAAGCTTCAAAGTCGGTCAAATTTCCCTTGTTTTTGATACCGTTAAGATTGTAAAAGTCAAGTCAAAGATTTGAGATAAGGACTCGACTGATTTCAAAACGAGGTTTATACTCGAGAAAACAACTGACTGACCAGAGGATTTGCTAACAAACTCAAGAGGAATCGAAACGACATATTTACCAAGTAAGTAAGGAAATCTTTGATCGGTGGTATCTTATGGTGAAAACTTGCTAAAGCGAAGAGTTCACGTTTACTGAGCCTTTTTCAATAGCTTTTTGAAGCCTTTGAATAGCTTTTTGAGTGCTTCATATCTAGAGGAAGTAAGACGTCGTTTGAATGTTATCAAAACAAAGCCAAAATGTTAAGCTGAACTAAACCGAATGAGTAAACTGCTATTTTTTAAAAAGCCCAAGGAGTAAATAACCCATGAAAAGCATCTTGTAGGGAAAAAAAGAAAAATCTGTTTTACTTCCCAACCTTTTTACTTCTCTTTAAAATTTAAGGAAACACAGAATTCAAAGAAGATGATAAAGCAATATTGGAGTGGAATTACTTTCGAGTAGGTTATGTCTGCCGATATAAAAAAAACTTAAAAATAAACAAAAAGGAAAGATTAGTATATGAATGGTGTCAGAATTAGAACAATCTGTCATCCGAAGTACTCTTCCCACTCTCTATAATATCAGTTATATTTTGAATAATATTTCTCTAAGATAGCTAAATTTCAAAAAAACGTCGTCGCTATCGAACACAAAATTTTAACAAATTTTTTTTTATTTATTTCAGAATTCCATTTTCGAAATGTTAATTTATGATTTTAAAAACCTCGAATATGAGTTAAAAATCAGTTTTGAAGAATGTCTTTTCATCAGAAAGGCCAGCCGATGTTGCCAGACGATCTGGACGTCAGCAAAATAATCATTGATTAGACATGAAAATATCTAATCAGAAAACACAAAACAAAATAAGATGGAATTATTATTTAGGAATATGTAACGACCTTTCTTTATTTTTCAAGAGTTTATTCTGTTGACATACGATGTTTCAGTATTTTTTCAGTATAAATTATTAGTACGATTGATTTGTGTGTGTGTGTGTGTGTTTTAATGGCTCGACTTCGCACGAGTAGAGGTGAAACAGTTTTATTTTATTTTTGAATTACATTTTCGGTCTGTTTAGATTTTTACTTAAACAGCTACTATAACATTTACATTTACATTTAAAAAGTAAAACTGAAAAAAATATGTCATTCAAAACCTCTTCCCCATTGACTGATTCGAAATATTCCTCAAAAAAAAAATTTTCAAATCTTATGTCGAGTACCCAACTGACTTCCTTTCAAAAATGCTAAGCTAAATTCAGTTGTGTAAACATGCTCTGAATGTTAACTTGAAGTGAGCTTTGCAACTATTGCATGTCCTTATTAAATGGCTTTTTAATGTTAGTATAGTAATATTGTGCAAGCTATTCGTATAGACTTCGTAAGTAAACTATTTTTTGAACTAAGCTTCAAGTTCTCAAACTTTCTCAGAGTAATATTCTATAATATTCAGTCGTTTCGATATCTATAACTAAATTTTCTCACCACTTATAGAAGTAACTAAAGGAAGAATAAAAATAGAAGTGTAACTTTATGATCGAAAGTCAACATCGTAGTCATCAATATTTTTTCTGTTATCGTAAATTATATATGATCTTTGCTTGTCATTATGTCAAAAGTCGGCCTCTTTTATCCGTACTTTTAGGCTAACAGATTACAGTGTCGCTAGGAAACCCCGTCGATCAAGCAGTTAGCAACCCAAAAGCTAGCATAATTCTTCCCAAAAAGCGGATATTCTGAAGAATTATTTCCTTAGAAGTTTATAGGCTGTAGCCTTTACTTCGTTAGTCAAATTGCATGAGAATTACATGGTGTTGACGTTACAGGGATTAAAAACGTTGATGAATATATGTGACTTAATTTCTATTGTATTTGCTTTGAGTTTGCTTCGAGTTGGTTTTTCGAGTTAGTAGTGGATTGGCCATTGAGTATAAGTGGTTTGCTTGAAAAAATCCAGTGTAGGCAGACTGGTCGACGCTAGAAGGAAAATAGCGGTTTAAAAAAAGCCGAGCTAATCAAGTGAGCAGGACCTTGAGGCGAAACTGCAATAGTACTCGTTCAAAACTAATCAAGAAAAGTATTATTCCCGGGTTCAAAGGGAACGGTTCAATTTGTGAATATTGTCATTACAAATGAAAACGAGTCCAATCTATTTTCAGAACTAATTACGACAAGGTGATAATGAGATTAATAAATTGAAAAGCGAACATTGCGGACAGCTTTGTACCGGCCTTTCCCTTCATAAATCTTTCACTGATTGTTTTGACTACCTCCAAAACTTTATCATTCATACGACACGCAAAATTGACCTTCAATTTTCAATTATCTTTTTCTCCAGATTTCGATCCATCAACTCATGGTTACCAAGACAACGCCGTCAATAATACTGTCAGATGGATAATAACACAAGTTCGTTGAACGTTAACGAGTCAGCGGTCTTCCGGGATGGTCGGTCTGGTCTGAGCGTCGCACCTCAAGTGTCGTTTCTAGCGGTCGTAATATTCGTGGCTGTTACTGCTAATGGGTTGGTGTGTTACGTCATTCATCGGACACCTCATCTGCATAACGTCATCAACATGTGAGTATTATTAATAGCTATTAAAATTTATAAATATTCATCACAATAGATATTATTATAACAAAAGAACGTCCATGACCAAAACCCTATTGTCGTCATAAGTAACACGTGATACCTGTATTAAGTGGAAAACCTTGGCTCCTTGTCCGGTGTCAGTGCTAAATAGTGGTTGTTTTTTATCGGAAATATGGAAGGAAAATTTTGGATCCGTTTCTGATTTGAAATAGCGAAGATTCAATGGAAAAACCATCGAAATGCCTTCATAAACAGTCAATCAAAGCCAAACTAGAAAAGCCACTTAAATGTCATACACATAATTAACAGTCAATCGAGGCAAACACGAGATTTCTTAAGTAAAAGCCATTTAAATGTCATACAAACAATTAACAATCAATCAAGGCCAACGCTAGATTTCTTAAAAGCCATTTAAATGTCTCACAGCTAATAAACAGACAATTACCTGCAGTCCTATTATTGCTAGGTAAGGATTATCAGATAGGATAAAAAAGCTATTTCAATGTCCTTATATAATCTATTAACAATTAATGAAAGCCAAATCTAGACGGAGTAGATAAATGAAAAAGCCATTTAAATGCCATGTAGAACCAATTAACAGCCAATCAAGGTCATGACTAGTAGTAGGTAAGTAATCAAGGCCAAAGCGAGATCGAGTAAATGAATAGAAAAGCCATTCAAATGCCATGTAACCAATTAACAGTCAATCAAGCCCATGACTGGTAATGTTATGTCTAGATCATCGATCAGATGAGATAAAGAAGCCATTTAAATGTCATAATAATATACTAACAGTCAATCAAAGCTAAAACTAGATTTAGCAGATAGAAAAGCCATTTAAATTCCATGTAACCAATTAACCGTCAACCAAGACCATGACTGGTAATGTTATGTCTAGATTATCGATCACATGAGATACTGAAGAAGCCATTTCAACGTCATAATATCATACTAACAGTCAATCAAAGCTAAAACTAGATTTAGCAGATAGAAAAACCATATGCCATATCCAGTTCTTGAACCGGAGTCAATCAAGGCCATTGCTAGGAGATTTATGTGAAATAGATGAAATAGATAGGCTATGTCCAACCCCTCTTTATTAGCTTTACCAATCTCAAAGGATTAGTCAAATAACCTATGGCACAGTTTTTTTCCTTGAAATTCAAAACGCGTGAATAGGACGTTTGTATGTTGACGTCATTTTACTCTCACTACCATAATACTTCGTGAATAATTTTCTTTCTTATTCAAATTTGTATTCCCCCATGAGAACAGTAAGACAATTGGTGCTAATTAACTGAACGAAAGAAAGTGCGCAAGGAAGTCTGGTAGTAGAGGTCAATGACGCAATCATGCAAAAACCCTATTATGCAAACTAGATGATATGTGCCTTTTACGTAAGTGCATCAGCCAATCGAAGCGCGCCCCCACCATCCAATCAAAATGCTTTATTCCAAATTTTCATTAATACTTTGCATGTAATATTTATTTCAGTTTTCTAGTGAGTATGTCTATATCAGATCTTCTCCACGCCCTCCTCAAAATGTCTACCACTCTCGCCTCTACGATTCAAAGGGACTGGTACCCACACAGCGCTGTTTGCTACGTAACCACGCCGTTTGGAGTTCTCTTCGGTGCCGCGTCTGTCTTCAACCTTTGCGCCGTCGCACTGAACCAATACTTCGTAATCGTCAAGCCGTTTCATTATATGACTCTTATGACTCCTACGCATGCGCGAAGAGTAATCACTGGATTGTGGCTTGGCAGCATCGTAATCTCTTTACCACCAATCTTCTGGCGCACTCCAGACATCATATGCAAAAGTGGCGCCGTTGCTAAGGAATACTACTGGTCAGAGGTTTCTTACATCTGCGCGTTGTGGTTATTTGTCGTCATAATACCATCGATTATTATGGTCTGGAGTTACGGGAAGATTTTTTGCACGGCCAGAAAGCAGATTCAACGCATGCGCAATGAAAATACATTGTTTGATGAGTCGTGTTCTTCGAGCACTAGAAAGAAAGAGTTACGTGTTGTCGCGTTGCTCGCTCTGATTGGTGGAATTTTTCTAGTCTGTTGGGTCCCATTCTTCATAGTCATGACGCTACTCAAATTTTCTTCCATCAAAGTAGACGTTAAATACTTCCGTGGATTCTTGTTTCTAATGTATGCGAAATCGGCTATTAATCCTATACTATACACAATAATGAACCAGGACTTGAAGAAATATTGTAGAAAACTCTTATGTCCACGGACTTTGCTACACAAGGAGAACGCCATGCTAATGAAGGCGTATAAAAACGGTCATCAAAATCAACACAATGGCGGGAAAAACCTTGATGTTTCTCCTGAAACTGCTCTGACTTTAGAAACCAATAGGTTATGAAAAAAAGAATTTTTGGAATAACAAAATTGGCATGAAATACAAAAATACAAAAATATGATTTATACGAGATTGCCATTGAATCGGTATAAAATAATTTCAAGAAATATTTAAAGTGCAAATCAAGTCTATAGGATCTCTTTCTGATTTGAAAGCCCTTTAATATAAAACAAATAAGAATGGCCTTTACTTTCTTTTTGATATCTCTTTTCGTTTCTGTCATGCTCAGAATAAAGCCATCACGAAATGATGACGTTAATCCAGGACCCTCGTAAAAAGTCGAATCATCACATAGAAAGTATCCCTGTGAGAATTAGCTCAAAACTACACTTGAATTTTTTGTTGGTTACAGTGCGCTATCACCACCAAACGTTTCAAAAATCAGAGAGATATCCTGTAGGCTTGATACGCACTTGAATATAAATGATATGGTTGCAGATCACGTGACAACTTCATTACGTGACATCAGTATCGACGGATAATAAAAATACCTTTACCTCAAAACCAGTATAACCATGGTGACCTTATATCCCTATCTCGGTTTTTCGAGACCGAAAAAAAAAAAAAATTACCTGCCATAACAAATGGTTTAAAATGGTGAAAATATAAAAACATAAATACATCGGGTATTAAAAACCCCATCAGACTATCAAATCGATCAAAACCATAGACTATAGTCCATTCTTTTTAGCTGAAAATGGCCAAAAATGACCTATTTTGCATCCTTCATGAATAATGCATATTTTTCTAAAAGGTGTGAAAATGGGCCAAAATCAATCAAAACCATGTCCTATAGTCCATGCTTTTTGCCTGAAAATGGCCAAAAATGACCTATTTTGCATCCTTCATAAATAATGCATATTTTTCTAAAAGGTGTGAAAATAGGCCAAAATCGATAAAAACCATGGTCTATAGTCCATACTTTTTGGCTGGAAATGGCCAAAAATGACCTATTTTGCAAGCGTCATAAGTAATGCATATTTTTTGAAAAGGTGTGAAAATGAGCTAAAATCAATCAAAACCATGGGCTATAGTCCATGTTTTTTGCCCATAAATGGCCAAAAATGACCTGTTTTGCATCCTTCATAAATAATGCAGATTTTTCTAAAAGGTGTGAAAATGGGCCAAAATCGATCAAAACCATGGGCTATAGTCCATGCTTTATGGCTGAAAATGTCCAAAAATGACCTATTTTGCATCCTTCATAAATAATGCATATTTTTTGAAAAGGTGTGAAAATGTGCCAAAATAGATCACAACCATGGCCTATAGTCCATGCTTTTAAGCTGAAAATGGCCAAAAATGACCTATTTTGCATGTTTCA